GACACAGTGAAGAAACTCCTGTGTGAGCCTGCACAGAAACCTCCCTGCAGAGACCCTCAGGACCAGCAGGGGGTGCTGAGTTCCAAAAGAGACTTCCATGACCAGTATGGGGTTGCTTCAGAAGCCAGGGAACTCTGAACAATGCTTCATGAGAATGTGTTTATATGTCAGCCCCTGTGGTTTCCTCTCCCAGCCTAGGAAATCCTCTGGAGGCCCCTCTCTATCATATTCTATTAAACTTACTATTTCTTTACTCGTGAGAAAAACACAGAATTTACCACAGACCCTGTAAGCTGCAGATTAGCATCTTATCATCAAAGAGATGGAGATATAACTATAATTGCAATATATTATATCAAGTGTATAATTTCATCTGTTCAATATATGTGAATCTTCACACATGAATATAAGTGTGCACCTGTGTGTGTCTATGTGAGTGTTCATGTTGGTGCATGAGTGAATGCATGAGTGTGTGTGCATGAGTTTGTGCATGTGTGTGCATGTGTGTGCATGAGTGTGTGCATGAGCGTGTGTTTGAGCATGTGCATGTGTGTGTGCATGTGTATGCATGAGTGTGTATTAATGTGTTTCTGCATGTGTGTTTGCATGAGTGTGTGCATGTGTGTGTGCATGTAAATGTGTGTGTCCATCTGTGTGTCCATGTGTGTGTCTATGTGAGTGTTCATGTGTGTGCATGTTTATGTATTAATGTGTGTGCGTGTGTGTGTGTGTGTGTGTGCATGTGTTTGTGTGTGCATGTATTTGTGTGTGTGTTCATGTGTGTGTGTGTTAATGTGTTTGTGTGTGTGTATAAGTTGATTTACTTACATTTCAAAGGGAGTCTGAAATGGATCTTCATAAGAAGACTTGGGACATCTGAGTAATTTCTAGTTTATCCTCTTTTATTTTGAATGAGACGGAGAAACCACAAGTCCATGAAATATTATTGACTTCCAAAGACACATTGGAAACTGAAATATACATACATTATTAGTTCTAAAGTTAGAGGCACCAGTAAAACTGCTTAATTGGTTATAATTTTTACAGATTCCATTTTTATACACTTTCATCCTTGTAGAAATAAGATGGCAATTCAAACTACCAAGTCATGATGCCTCTGAAGTTGTGTCCTGCACAACCAATCTACAGATTCTCAGGCTCATTGTGCTCATGCCAGCTGGTGTCAGCTCCAGTCCTGGTTCCATCTCCCCTCGGTTCTTCCCATAGGCTACTGAGTTCTGTGATTTTCAATTATTGCTTTTGCTACCCAAAACGGCTCCAGAGTTCCTGCTCTGGAAGTCTCTGTTGATGCTGACTAGAATGACTGGTGTCTCCTGTGAGAGCTGAGAAGTTTCATTCAGAGGAGCAGTGTGGGCTGTGGGCTCCAGGTTAAAGGATCATGGACTTGTGACACTGTAAAAGGGAAAAGAGAGTCTGTATATGTGAGGCTGAGGCTGCTCTGAAAACTCATGCAGAGAGTTTCCTAACATACACCAATAGTATGTGAGGAAAATTTGGATACCAAACTGACTATGCTCTTAGAATTCTGACTACAGAACATAGGACAGTGACATGAACAACTCCACAGGATCCTGAACACACAGGATCCACTATCATGTTACCCAGGGTGAGGGTGAGCATCAGCCTACATGGATGCTCCTGAAATGAGCAAGGAAAAGTGTTTAATCAATTTTTTATACCTAAAACATATCAGAATAAACTATCAGAACAAATGCCTCTCAGATCTAATCCCAAGGATTTCTCTTTTGACAAAGAAAATACAAAGTTATCTGGGAGAGTCTAACAATATGAATTAAATGACGTCACATATCTTAATTTAGGTAACTAAATTATTGAACAAATAGTAAAAGGTGAAGATTTCCCCCTCAGTAGAACAGAAGTAACAACAATGTATGGAGAGGCCCTTGAAATAATCCTCTCATTAGTATATGCTGTGATCACTTCTAGAGAATTATAAAGAAAAAGGATGCCCAGGTGACACATGTGTATTACCCAACACCAGAATAACTGTCCTTACAGCATGAGCCCTGAAAAGTTGGTACAAGTGTGATATGTGTTCCTGTAACATTTTCCCCCAATTCTTCTTGATGAGATATTGTCTCATTAGAGTAAAGTAACAGCTTAGCAAAAGTGAGTGGATATTTTATAAATCATGTGTAGGATTATCTGTAAGTGGATTTTTTTAAAGCTAGTGAAAGATCCCACCAGTTCTTAGGCAGATGGGAAGATGGTGACAGATAAAGTGGCCAACTGAGTCATTTAAAATTAGCAGTCTCCCTTAATCATTTGGTTTCTGAATTTATTGCTTCAAACATCACTAAACTGCTTTTACTATTTTTCTTTACTCTTGAGTACCTCAATATTGACACTATAAAAGGACATTTATGTCATATTATTCTATCCAACATCCCTCACATCTTCCAACCTGGAGCTCTACCTACCTCATACTTATTTAAGCAGACTTAGGGCTGCCCATATGGGCATGTGGGTGGAGCCAAGGACTGCAACATAGGAAACCTACCATTGACTCAACCCTCAAAAATGGAATGGATCTATTTTTTTCTTCAGAACAATACATTTTCAACTATTCCAGTGTGCAGTAAAGACATTCCCTGCTTCTGAGGATCTCTTCCCATCACTGACTCCAGTGTGCAGTGAAGACAGGCCCTGCTCCAAGGGATCTCATCCCAAAAGAGGAAGGAAGCCAGCATGGACAAATCATGCTCTCATCTGATGATTGGAGTAAAAGTGGCCTCCCTGCTGCAACAGGGCCTCATCAGGATGATCAGGGCACTCTCCACCATGTGAGAACACCCTGTCACTTGTTCTTCTCATGAAGAGACAGTTTCCACCTCATCAGATTATCAAAGCTTTGAAAAAAGCTGTTTATAGACTCCAATGGCCACCATTTGAGATTTCTTCGCCATATTTGTCTCACTGATAGACATGGGTGAATCTGATTAGCCACTCATTTTGTCAGTGAAAAGTCTCAGGACTGGTAGTATTATTTCATCCCCAAATCCATACCTCTGATATTCTTATGGTTTCCATTGGACATACACAGACTAAAACCTGTGTCTCACAGCTGAGATCAGCACAATTATTTCATGTGTGCATTGGTTGATTTCTTCCATTGCTTGCGGAGAAAAGCATGGTGATATTTTTCCAATGTTTCCAACTACTGGAAGACAATTCTGTGCTCTGTGTCTTACACATAAAACCTGTAGTCTGCAGAGCTACCCAATAGTGAAAACTGACAGTGACGTTAGTCTTGAGTCAGAGTTAATAAATCAATAAGACAATACATCCTAAAACTATATAGAGATGTTTATGATCTGTCTCTTTGGTTCCTCTGGGAAGGGATGAATAACTCAGAGCCTGTGGGAACGAGTCTTTGGGGAAGGATAATCTGCTAAAATATCACATTCTGAAATCATGATCCACAAACATGGTATGTTGGCCTGAAGCTTGTGAAGACCCAACAATGACCTTGGGTCTCCACCCATATAAACATTGAAATTCAAGTCTACTAAATGTTTGAGAGTTGCTTTCTCATAAGATTAATCTTCTGGATGAGTTATAAATTTAAGATTAACTCAACTGACGATAAGAGAAAAGATTTCTACTGGTTCTTTATTCTTTTTTTCACCATTTAAAAATATATTTTCTTAGTTCCTTACCATTTTCATACAACCTAATTTCTCATAATCACCCCTCCCTCCCCGCTCTCCTCTAAACCCACTTTCCCCTCTTACCCAGCCCCACTTTGTGTCTTTTTTGTGGGGGAGACACTATCTGACATCAGATGTTCTAGTCTTTTAGCTCCTCAACATCTTCTGAGATGTTTCCTGGATCTTAGGAGAAGGCTTTGTCCTGTAGATGTGCACTGGAGCTGGTCACCTCCCGGTTAGTTGTTCTCTGTATTTTAACCACTGTGGCTTTCTGTGATGGTTTCTGTCTATTGCAGAAAGAAGCTTCTCTGAGGAAGAAAGGGAGATCCACCAATCTGTGTGTATAAGGATAAGAACTTGGAATGCAGTTAGGAACGATACTGGTTAAGGGATGTGTCAGTAGAAGGTTCTCTTCTTGGTTCTATGGCCTTGCCACCTATAAGTAGTTGGCTAGGTTTACAGTACCAGGTTTGAATTCCTCATATTGAGCCCTAAGTCTAATTAGGTAGTTGTTGGTTACCTCCAGGATATAAACACTACTATTGCGCCTTTCAAAATATCTTGTGGTTCTGGTCATTGTTGTAGTTCATAGGTATTACTGATGGATAAGACTGTTGAATTCTTTTTTTCTTTTTCTTTTTTTTATTTTTTTCAGATTTTTTATTTGAATTAGAAACAGGATTGTTTTACATGACAATCCCAGTTCCCTTCTCCCACTCGTCCTCGCCTACCACCCTCCCCCAACTAAACCCCTACCTATCACATATCCTTTCTACTCCCCCTGGATGTGAGGCCTTCCATAGGGTGTCATCAGAGTCTAACGTATCCTTTGGGATAGGGTCTAGGCCAATCCCGGTTAGTTCTTTATTCTTATATCCCACCACTAAGAGCTGAAGTACACCACGTGACTGAATCCAAATTGCATCAAAAATTTTGTATTTAAATTTACAAGGATGTGCACTGGGGGTGTGGTACCCTCTAATCCTTTCAGAGCATGAATGTGGCCTCCCTTAATGTTTTGTATTCAAGGCCTGCACAGTGGGAATCATACAATTTCCTGTTTACATGGATTTATAAATTCAGACAAATACCAGGAAAATGTTCCTGGTTTTTTGTTTGTTACTAACTTTTCTAACAATCAGAAGGCAAACATCAGACAACTGAAGGGAGGATTGTAAACCTTGCCCTGAGTCTCCTTTTATCCACTCAGGATCCTCCCCCAATGCAAAGCAGCCTCAGGCTCAAGCTGAAAGCCCAAGGCCTAGCTGAGCACCCCCATCTCCTTCTCACTGAAGCCTCCAGCAGAGCATGGCTGTCCTGGTGCTGCTTCTCTGCCCGGTGACTTTTCCAAGCTGTAAGTATCCAGGGTTTCAGGAGAGGGACCCAGGCATGTCATTGTGGGATGTATGACTGATGGTGATGTTGTTTGTCCCCAGGTGTCCTGTCCCAGTCGAAGTTAGAGGAGTCAGGACCAGGCCTGGTGCAGTCCTCAGAGACCCTGTCTCTCACCTGCACTGTCACCGGGTTCTTATTGACTGGCTATGGAGTACACTGGTTCCGCCAGGCTCCAGGAAAGGGTCTGGAGTAGATCGGAGGGACATGGAGTGGTGGAGGCGTATATTATAGCTCCATTCTCAAATCCAGAACCACCATCAGCAGAGACACCTCCAAGAGCCAGGTTTTCTTAAAACTGAACAATCTACAAACTGAGGACACAGCCACCTATTACTGTGCCAGATACACAGTGAGGGAACTCCAATGTGAGACTGTACAAAAATCTCACTACAGAAACGCTCAGGACCAGCAGGGGGCGCTGAGGACAAGCAAACACTCCATGGACAACTGGAGTCACTTAAGACAGAAGCTAGGAAATTTTGGACTATTTGATCATGTGTTTTAATGTTATAACCCATGGTTTCCTTTCTTCAGAGAGAATTCTCTAGAGGACCCTCTCTGGTATCATGTTCTAATAAAATTCCTTTTTGTTCACTAACTAGGAAAATGTCTTGTTTGTTCCATTAGTTGGTTGATTGGTTGACTAGTTTTTCTTCTTTTATTATTATTACTTTTTATCACAGAGCCTCTAAGCTATCCATTTGCTTTTTGGTATTGATAGAATGATATATAATTTTATGCATGTATTTATACATATACCCTTATATGTATGCAAATGAATTTATATTCTTTAGTTAAACAGGATTCTGCACTTATGACACTTGCTGTGTGTAAATTCAGTAGACCTTGGCAATTATGAGACAACTGTAATTCATCCTCTTTTTTATACATGTGATGGAGAAAGCACACCTTCCCTAAGTCAATGTTACTTTCTTTAAAAGCCTCGGGAACCTTTATCCAATCTTACCGAATCGCTGAGAATGAACATGCAAATTAACCAAATCAGGAATGAAAAGGGGGACATAACAACAGGCACAGAGGAAATCCAGAGAATCATCAGGTCATACTGCGAAAAACTGTACTCCGAAAAGTTTGAAAATGTAAAGAAAACGGACAATTTTCTGGACATACTTCACTTACCAAAATTAAATCAAGAACAGATAAGCAACTTAAATAGACCTATAACCCCTAATGAAATTGAAGCAGTCATCAGAAGTCTCCCAACTAAAAAAGACCCAAGACCAGATGGCTACAGGGCAGAATTCTACCAGTAATTCAAGGAGCAGCTAATACCAATTCTCCTCCAAGTATTCCACACAATAGAAGCAGTATTGTCATTGCCAAACTCTTTTTTATGAGGCTTCAATAACCTTGATACGAAAGCCACACAAAGACACAACTCAGAAAAAGAACTTCAGACAAATATCCCTCATGAACATTGATGCAAAAATACTCAAGAAAATACTGGCAAATCGAATCCAAAAACATATCAGAGAAATCATCCACCATGATCAAGTTGGCTTCATCCCAGGAATGCAAGGAAGGTTCAACATAAAAAATCAATCAATGTAATCCACCATATAAACAGACTGATGAAAAAACCACATGATCATCTCACTAAATGCTGAAAAAGCCTTTGACAAAATCCAACACCCCTTTATGATAAAGTTCTTGGGGAGATCAGGGATAACAGGAACATACCTTAACATAATAAAAGCAATATACAGCAAGCCAACAGCCAACATCAAATTAAATGGAGAGAAACTCAATGCAATTCCTCTGAAATCAGGGACAAGTCATGGCTGTTCACTCTCTCCATACCTCTTCAATATTGTCCTTGAAATTCTAGCTAGAGCAATAAGACAACAAAAGGAGATCAAGGGGATACAATTTGGAAAGGAAGAAGTCATACTTTCACTTTTGACAGATGATATGATAGTCTACATAAGTGACCTGAAAAACTCTACCAGGGAACTCCTACAGCTGATAAACACCTTAAGGAAAGTGGCAGGATACAAGATTAACTCAAAAAATCTGTAACGATGATAAATTCGTAGAGAAACAAATCAGAGAAACATCACCCTTTATAATTGTCACAAACGACCTTAGGGTAACATTAAACAAAAAAGTGAAAGACCTGTACCATAAGAATTTGGAGTCTTTAAGAAGATACCAGAAAATGGAAGGATGTCACATGTTCTTGCATAGGTAGGATCAACATTTTAAAAATGGCAATCTTGCCAAAAGCAATCTACAGATACAATGCAATGTCCATCAAAATTCCAACACAATTCTTCACATATCTTGAAAGAACAATTCTCAACTTTATATGGAAATACAAAAGACTCAAGATAGCCAAAACAACCCTGTACAATAAAGGAACTTCTGGAGGTATCACCATGCCTGACTTCAAACACTATTATAGAGATATAGTCCTGAAAACATCTTGGTATTGGCTCAAAAATAGACAGATACACCAATGGAATAGAGTTGAAAACCTCGATATTAACCCACACACTTAAGAACACCTGATTTTTGACAAAGAAGCAAAATGTATACTGTTACGATAAATCTTTCCACCAAAAACCGCTGAGCACTACTGCCACGTGTACACTTTATGCCAGCTGCCTGCCTGAGTTAGGCCCAAATAAATACACAGAAACTTGTATTAGGTACAATGCTGCTTGGCCAATGACTAGGATTCTCATCTGTTAGCTCAGTCTTAACTATCATAAACCTATATATTTTATAAGACTTATCTAATTGGACGCCTTATTGGTGTCCCTCGTTGCCATTGGCTCACATCCTGCCGCTGGAGGAGACAAACGGGAAAAAGGGACCCTTCCTGTTTCTAATTTGCTTAAATATGAATCTCCTTGCTATGTCACTTCCTGCCTGTATCACTACTTCTCTATACATTTCCCAGAATCCTCTTTGTCTCTTAGTTCTGTCTAACTTGCTGTCTCATTGGACAAACAGTATTTTATTCAACAATCATTAAGATAAACATACACAGTAGTACATTCCCCATCACTATACAATGGAATAAAGAAAGCATCTTCAACAAATGGAGCTGGCATAACTGGATTCTGGCATGTAGAAGACTGTAGATAGATCCATGTCTATAACCAAGCACAAAACATAAGTCCAAATGGATCAAAGATCTCAACATAAATCCAGCCACACTGAACCTATTAGAAGACAAAGTAGGAAATACCCTTGAATTACTTGGTACAAGAGACTGATTCCTTAACATAACACCAGTAGCACAGACACTGAGATCAACAATTGATCAATGGGAACTCCTGAAACTGAGAAGCTTCTGTAAGGCAAAATATACAAAGAACTCAACAAGCTAGTCTCCAAAACACCAAACAATCCAAATAATAAGTGGGTACAGAACTAAATAGACAATTCTCAATAGAGGAATCTAAAATGGCTGAAAGGCACATAAGAAAGTGTTCAACATCCTTAGCCATCAGGGAAATGCAACTCAAAATACCTCTGAGATACCACCTTACTCCTGTTAGAATGGCTAAAATCAAAAACACCAATGACAGTTTATGCTGTAGAGGATGTGGAGAAAGGGGAACACTCCCCCACTGCTGGTGGGAGTACCAACTTTTACAACCACTTTGGAAATCAGTATGTCGACTCCACGGGAAAATGGGAATCAGTCTACCACAAGATCGAGCAAGTCCACTCTTAGGCATATACCCAAAAGAAGCACATTCATACAACAAGGACATCTGTTCAACTATGTTCATAGCAACATTATTTGTAATAGCCAGAACCTGAAAACAACCTAGACACGCCCCAACTGAAGAATGGATAGAGAAAATGTGGTACATTTACACAATGGAGTACTACTCAGCAGAAAACAACAATGGAATCTTGGAATTTGCAGGAAATTGGATGGAACTAGAAGAAACCATTCTGAGCTAGGTAACCCAATGACAAAAAGACTAACGTGGTATGTCCTCACTCATATGTGGATTTTAGACAAAGAATAAAGGATTACCAGCCTACAATCCAAACTGCCAGAGAAGCTAGTAAACAAGGAGGGCCCTAAGAGAGACATCGATGATCACCCAGAGAAGGGGAAAGGGACAAGATCTCCTGAGCAAATTGGGAGCAAGGGAGGAGGGGCAGGGAGCCAAGAGAATGAGGAGGGGAGAAGAGGTGTGAGGAGGACATGAGGGAGCAGAAAGGTTGAGTCAGGGGAAAAATAGAAGAAAACAAGAATGGAGATATCATAATAGAGGGAGACATTTTAGGTTTACAGAGAAATCAGGCACTAGGGAAAGGTCTGGAGATCTTCAAAGATGACACCAACTAACAGTCTAAGCAACAGAGGAGAGGCTACCTTAAATGCCCTCCCCTGATAATGAGATTGATGACTGATTTATATGCCGTTCTATAGCCTTCATCCAGCAGCTGGTAGAAATAGAAGCCGATACCCACAACTAGTCATTGAACTGAACTGGAATCCACTTGCAGAGAAGACCGAGTGATGGGTAAAGGGGTCCAGACCAGGCTGGTGAAACCCACAGAAACAGCTGACCTGAACAACAGGGAGCTCTTGGTCCCCACACTGATATCTGGGAAACCAGCATAGGACTGATTCAGACCCCAGGAACATGGGATTCAGTGAGGAAACCTCGGAAATCTATGGGAACTCCTGTAGTAGTTCAGTACTTATCCCTAGCATAGGAATGGATTTTGGGAGCCCAATCCACATACAAGGATACTCCCTGAACCAAGACAAATGGGGGTGGGCCTAGGCCCTATCCCAAAGGATATGATAGACTCTGAAGATGCCCTATAGAAGGCCTCACCGTCCCTGGGGAGCAGAAAGGATATGTGATAGGTAGGGGTTTTAGTTGTGGGCAGAGTATAGGGGAGGAGGGGAGGGAGGGTGAACTGGAATTGACATGTAAAACAATCTTGTTTATCATTAAAAAAATAAAAAGTAAAAAAGGACCCACTGGCAGTTTACAGAGGGTCAGGGTGAGCATCACTCTACACAGCTGCTGCGTAAAAGGAATTGTCAAAGGAGAACTTATAAATGAGGTTTTTGGATAAATATGTCAGAACAACACCTAAATGTTCTCATTCACAAGGGCTACAGTTGTGACAGAACATATGTAACATGCTACTGAGATTCTAACACTGTTCATTCAAAGACAAGGTAATGTCCGTACTGAGATAAGTATAGTGGTGATCAAAAAAGTTACAGCAAATATCCACCTTTGAAGTCGAAGGGCAGTACTAACAAAGTATGCAGATCCCCTGACATCATCTTCTGTTAAATATATCCTGTGATTAATTCTATAGAGTTATACAGAAAATCTTCCATGGGGAGTTAACATGCATGCAGAGTCCTGGCAGACGCCACCTCAGCAGTGCGATGAACATCATCGGAATAGGAATGATTGAGGCTTTTATTGCTATTATTATTCTCTCATAAAGTACATCCTAACTGCAGTTCTCCTCCTTCCTCTC